TATCTTGACTAACCCTAGTATCCAGGGTCAGCTCTAACTGCTTTCTGCTCTCAGATGTGTTGAGTTTCATACTTATTTTAATCTCACCCTTTTTGGGTGGGAACATAAAGTCCAGGTTGTTTGATAGTGTACATTTGGGACTGGATGTTCTGCTCTGATAGTCATCCACCTGGCAAAAGTGCTCTGTGCACCCTGTCCCCCCACCCTTGCTTTGTTGTGACTTTCTCCAGGTGCTTTACAGGATATTGGATCGGGATCTTGAGGCACAAAGGATTTGAGGTTTTCACATATTCCACCACCTGTAATGGAACCCAGATGCATCACCCAAGATTCCTGGCTCGCTGGCTCGCTGGTTTCAAGCACCAATTCAGAGCAGTTTAAAATGCATTTGAACTCTGCCAACTGCAGAGGTAGACGGGTGTAACTTGACTCCTGTTATTTCCAGAAAGCCATAGATTACCCCCAACCCCCAAACCTTTTAAAAGTCTGCAGTTAAAGATCTTTCCCATTCTGCATTTCCTCATTTTTCAGTCTTCTTGGTTTTCAGCCTTCCTTTCCCACCTACCTACCATTCCTCCTAAAACACAGCAGATCTGAGCAGATTTTGTGTTGCCAATCCATTTTGCCCTCTTAAGGTTCCAGTTGGATGGTCCTGTGTCCGTATGTACAGCCTGTATTGTTGGAAGGCTCTTCAGTAAACTGTGCTGGGAGATGATCAGTAAAGGGGCTGGGGTCACTCTATAATCCCAGAGAGAACGTTGCATATTTTCACATCTGAATATTTGGAAGAGTTTATTGTTTTGTTTTTTGTTTGTTTTGTTTTTTTTGTTTTTTGATGGGGTGGTGGTGGTGGATAATGGGGACTGAACCTGGGGCTTTGTATTTGCCAAGCAAAGACACTGTCCCCAAACTGTACTCCTGGACTTTTTATTATTCATTTTTATTTTTGAGACAGAGCCTCAGTAAGTGGCATGGGGTAGCCTAGAAATCATTTGTAGTCCAGGCTGCCTTGGCCCTAGCATTCTTCTGCCTCTGCCTCTCAAATATGGAGGGTTATAGGAGGCACCACCAGGCAAGGGAAAAATGTTCAAGTTCCTACACTTGTTTATCCCCTGGCTGGTACCTCCAGTTGAGTCAGTGTTTACCACATTTGTTTATCTCCTGGATCATACCTCTAGTTGAGTCAGTGTTTACTTTTGCATTGTTTGTGTGGACTGCCTTCCAGTTGTGTGAGGGTTCGATGCCCTTGAATAATGTAGGTGCAAGTGCTTCAGAAGCCTCCAGATCAAAAGATGCAGCTTGAACATGGAGACCCTTATTCCCACAGTGACAGTTTGCCTTCCCCACATACTTTATTCTTTTGAACATAATTTACAGAAGATGACAGTGTAATTTCTCTGATGTTTTTGTTAACCGTTTCTGAAAATTGCCCTGGTATCCTGTTTGAGTCAGGTGTTGATAAGAACTGTGGTGCCTTTTACTAGTGGCAGAGCATCTGGTCTGTGCTGTCTGCTGTTGGTGGTGGTGAGTTTCCATGAACAAGAGCCTTTCGATCTGAGGGTTTCCGAATCCCACGGTAGCTCTTCAGACACTTACCACTCTGTAAATCAACGAAATAAACTGTCATAGTAACAGCATTACAGCAGGTGCTGACAAGAGGCTTCCAGGTAAAGGAGTGAAACAGAAGAGAACCCTGAGTTTAAGGTGTTCCCAAGGTGAACTGCGATACACTCATGAAATGGACTCCACAATCTTCCTCTGGCAAATTATATACAGAGAAAACATGTGTTCCATGGCTAGACATGTGTTCAGTGAACATCTGTGTTCTAGGCATTGCACTGATTCCACAGACTTCAGTGAACATCTGTGTTCTGGGCATCTGCACTGACTCTATAGAGTTCAGTGAATGTGCTCAGGTTACAGTTGAAGACATGCAGCTGAATGGTTACTTCTATGTTCCTTTTCTTTTCTCCTTTAAATTCTTGCTGCATACCTGAGAGGGAGGTTTAGATCATCCATGGGTGAGGATGACAGAGAGGTTAGGAACTAGATCATGTGTCCCTAGTCTGTGAGAAGCATAAACTTCCCATGACCATGGGTTTTCCATCTCACCATGATGCTCAGGCAGGATGAATAGCAGTGTGTAATTTGGAGCTGTGCTACAGCCTTGTAATCTAAATAGAATATTTGTAGCTCTCCAGTGACTCTAGGATCCAGGTATTCTACAGATTATGGCTTTTTAAAACGTTGTCCACTTGTGACCACTTCATCCAAGAAATTTTTATATAACCTCAGGTATATAGATAGATAAAATATATAAAGCAAACATTTCTGATAATAAAATTTTATCTTAATGCAATTATTTGATATACATATAATTTTACCATTTATTAAGGATAAAAAATGACATTTGCATAGTAATTAGATGAATGTGCTTATTTTTACAGAAATAATTAAATGATGGCTGCATAGTTGCTACTGCAGAAGGTAGAGCATCTTGTCTGTTGGGTCACAGAGCTATTAAGTGATGAAAACTGAGTGGGCTTAACCTTCCCTCTTCCCAAATGCCTTTTTTACTCAGCATCCCGGAGATGAATGATTTTGATACTCAGCAACATTTATCAAGCCCTTGCCATATACAGCATGCTGCACTGGATGCTGTGAGTTTGTACTGGAAGATAGAGACTTCCACAGTTCTGCTCTCTGTATAATTTAATGGTAGAGTTAGTATAATAGCCTGAGAAAAAGACCCAGACTTTGGCTTATTTAACTATATAAGCACAAGTAAAGCCATGTTGCTACAGTGAAATAAATGTCAGCACTCACTGCGGGCAATATGAAGCATTATCTGGTTGGTATCTACAGCTCTGAGAAACTCTTTAATGCTTGTTCCTGCTGGTGTCTTCCAGTCCTTCACCTCCCATGGCTAATGCATAACTGCATTCAAATCTCTAATTGTTTTTAATGACTTACTAATTCTTTCTTGTGTGTGCATGAATGTTTGGTTATATATGTGTGTGTACCACGTGTGCTTGGTGCCTGAGGCCAGAAGAGGGTGTTGGATCTCCTAGAACTGAGGTCACAAAGTTAGTTTTGAGATGCCATATGGTGTTCAGAATGAGACCAAGATTCTCTGGAGAGCATCAAAGTGCTGCTAAGCATGGAGCCATCTCACCAACCACTCCATTAATTTAAGGGAGGAAATCTCGACAGTTGCCCCTGGCTTCCTACCCTTGTTCCTGAGAGGCTTGTCATCCCATCTTCCTTCACATCTCAAGGTCCTAGCCTGTTGGCTGTGCTCTCTGCTCTTTCTTTTCTTTGTGATTGACTGCCTCCTCTGTCCCCAGCCCCCAGAGTGCTTTTGTCTTGTTATTCCTCATAACATGTTTTGTATTTAGGTGACATCTGAGTCTCCATCTGCAGCCAACATTTCTCACCTAACTTTATGCTGTTTCCTGCAATGTCACCAAGTGCTCACATTGTCACTGGAGGAAGTGCAGTTCATCATCCCTTGACAAGTTAAAGACGCAGTGGTCAGTGCCAGAAACCTGAGGGTTGTCTTACAGCCCACCTCTCCTTTTGCTAGCCCCTGTCATTCCCTAAACCTTGCTTGCTGATCCCATCTTGAGCCAGCCAGGCTCACTGACTGTTCCCTGGTGTATTAGCTTAGGTCTCATCTCTTGCCTGTGTTTCTGTGGTATAGTCCTAACTCCTTCCCCTTTGATCCTGGTTCCATCATATCTGTCGAATACGTAAGTACTAAGATGAGTTAAAAAAAAACAAAACAATCAAGCTGTGTTCCCTCCTCCAAGGCCAGATCTTTCCTACTATGCTCAGCCACTGATGGAGTGAGTATACAGCAGTTCCTACCTGTAGCTGCTTTGGCAACCCCAGGTTTCTTGAAGTTATCCATAGGCCACTGTGCATTCTCATCACGGTGCCATTTCTAAACCTTTTTATTGATTACTTTAATTTTAAAAAGTCATATGCTGGCTGATAGTTAGAGACTAATTGTGGTTGCCTGCATTCTGACTAATATCCAAGGCCGGTCCCTTAGGGTAGTGGCTTGTCAAGCTGTCAGAAGTCAGCCTGTCTGCTCGTCCCTCCTTTAGTGTGTGCATGAGTGCAGAAAAAGTGCTAGATTTATTGACTGTTCAGACCATTAGATGAGACTATATAGAGAAGACTTTACCTAAATTTGGCACCAGAAGAAACAGCATTCTCTATTAGGTAGGCTTAGGTCCAATCAAAAGCCACTTGGAAATGGAGGACAGTGGCTTACATTAGACTATTATCTGTCACTGGAATTCCTAAGGTACCTGCCAATCTGACATCTTAGGTCCATGGAGATCTTGGGGAGGGATCCCATTTTTGTGTACACGTCCATCAGTTTATTTCCTGAACCATGCTCCAGGAAGGCATCTGTTCTGCAGCAAAAGAACAGGAAACAGGAAGCAGAAGGAAGATTAGGTGGAAAGCACTAGCTGTCTTCAAGATTTCTGGAAATTAACAGAGATTTCTATCCCATCAGCAACAGCTTATTCATACATTTCTAAAGACAAGTATGTGTGTGTATGTGTGCACCCACCACAAGTATATACACACAAAGGTTTTGTTACTGTGGGAAAAAATAAATTTCAAGGGACAGTATTAAAGGATTTGTGTGAACTATGCATACTTAGCCTGATGTTTAATCTGCACCTTCTATTCAGTCTTTTTAATTACTACATGAATCTTATATACCAGCCAAAGCATCCTTGTTATCCATGGTTGGAAGAACCCTCCTCCTCTAAATGCTGAACTACCTTTTAGGGATATTGTGCACAGCATGCTGAGCTATCATTGCTGTCCTCTCACGTTCCGTAGTCTCCACAGCAGAAGTTTGCCTGGGGTATTAATGTACTTTATCCACCTGCAGTGCCCAGCCACCTGCCTCATAAACAACAACAAAAACAAAATAGTTCTTACATGAATAAGCAGATAATTTTGATGATTTCCAGGTTTCTTGTAGACTTTTCAGAAAAGAAGATGGACCAGCCTAGTGGAAGAAGTTTTATGCAAGTATTGTGTGAAAAATACAGTCCTGAAAACTTCCCTTACCGCCGTGGCCCTGGGATGGGAGTCCATGTCCCAGCCACTCCTCAGGGCTCTCCTATGAAAGGTAAGGAAGGTGGAACAAAGAACATGCATTTGTCTGCGATTATTTGGGCTGGAGTACAACATCGCCTCATTTGTGAATGAGTGCCTTTATTTGGAATCGTGAGTCCAATGGTCATCACTGCATGTTATGATTCCAGTGTTTTCTTAAAGAGCTTTCTTCCAGACTGTCCATGAGTTTTAGTTGTCTTTGCAGGGCAACACTGCTACTTGGGGAATAACCCTTCAAGTGCATATCCTTTCAAGGAACTGAAAGGTACAGAGTGGTACAAGGCTAGCTGATGCCCTTAAGGACCTTCACAGGTTCTTGGGTTATATTACACGACATTCACATTTATGAAGCTATAACTCAGTGTAACTTATGTTGAGCCAAATGAAAACCATAGTGATTAAGAAAGGAATTTAGAAGATAATACTATCAGGAAAAGGTTCAAAGGTTAACTAGCCCTTGGAGAATGTAGAGTATGGTTAGAGAGGAGACTAAGACGTTCTTAAAGAGGGAGGTGTGCAAGGTGGGTTTTGGCTAGCTTTTTACCTTCGCTGTACTTAATAGATTTTAGAAGTAAGTTCTTTGTAATTAAGGGGAGTTCACAGGAATCATTCCTTATTTCAGTACTCAGAGTCTACTGACAGTCATTTCTCAATGTAACTGTCTCCAGCCTGGTAGAAGTGAGCCCCTGAGTTGGCAGTTTGTTGCCCAGACTATGTTCTACATCTTAGAAATTTGATACTAAATAGCACTTAGTAGAAAAACTATATAATTCAAGGCCTCAAATTATAAATCTTGACCTTCAGGAGCCCTTGTTTTTTTTTTTTTTCCAAATGGGAGAAAAAGTGGTTGAAGTGTCACGTTTGTCCCTTTCAGTAAGATAGTAAGAGTGGTTTTGCTGACATATGCTCTCTAGAACAGGCAGTGGCCAGACTTGGTATTTGGCTGACCATATTTTGCCTATTATAAATTCTGAAACTTTTTCTCCAATTAAGAATTTGTTTGAAAAGAAGGCTGTATTTTCATATGGGAAAATTGTGTTAACACATGAATATAAAATGGGAATAATTGATAGGCAGGATATAACAAAACAGCATTTTTATGGTCTTTCTGTGAGGAAGATGTTATGAACACACAAACTTGAAGACAAGGTGGCTTAGCTAATAGCTCATTAGTGATTTGAGATTTTTTTAAAATTTTTATTGGTTCTTTGTGAATTTCACATCATGCCTTCTGATCCCACTTATCTTCCTTGTCCCCTTGAATCCACTCTCTGCCCTTGCAAACTCCCCCCAAATCAAAATCAAATTTAAAAGTAAAGCCAAACCAAACAAAACAAAAATGAATCTCATCGTAGAAACTGTAGTGTGGCCCATCCAGTCACACAGTTTACCCTGTTATCTGTTGGTCTTTACTTGCCAGTGTTCATTACCATTAGTCATTGGTCTGCCTCGAGGCCTCTGGTCTCTGCTACACCATTAATAATGAGCTTTCAGTGGGGCTCCTCTTGGATAGCCTGTTGTTGTCCTGTGCCATGGAGATACTTCTGTTTTGGATCTGTGGGTTTGTTCCCTTCACATGCTCCAAAAGTTAATAGATTTGGTGGATGTTGCGGAGGTGATGGGAGCAACTCTCTGCTGAATCAATGAGTGAATTGTTAGAGATAATTTTTGAAAGGAGCATTTGAGAGAAAAGAGAGTGCAAATACTTTAGAACTGCAGGCTTGAGGTCAGTCAATGGTGCTGTGAGCCACAGGTTGCCGAAGTCTGATGTGCAGGCAAGAAGATGACAGTGTGTGTGTGTGTGTGTGTGTGTGTGTGTGTGTGTGTGTGTTAACTGGCAGATGTCCAGCTGGGAGCAGAGAGCTAAGAAGACTTTTTGTGGTGGGAGTTCAGCAATTCTGAGTTCCTCCTGGCCCATATTGAACTCTCAAGGCCCCAAGATCCCATTATATTTCCTAGGCCCTCTTGGAATGTGGGGGATACAGTTAGTTTTTTGTTATCTGATTATTGCTGGGTGCTAAACATACATAGGCAAGAATTAGGTTGTAGCAGAATTGCCATCAAAGAGACCAGAGAGACTTGATGGAATCCAGCATTTGATGGAAGCAGATGCAGAGCCCTACAGCCAAACATTAGGCGGAGCTAAGGGAGTCCTCCAAAGGAGGGGGGGAGAAAGGATCAGAGGAACTAGAGGGGTCAGGGATACCAAGAGAACACAGCCCACAGAATCAATGGACTGGAACTCATGGGTGCTCAAAGAGATCAGGGAGCCTATAGGGGTCTGACCTAGGTCCCCTTCATATATGTTATGACTGAGTAGCTTGGTGTTCTTATGGGATTCCTAACAGTAGGAGTGAGGGCTGTCTCTGACTCTTTTGCCTACTCGTGGTACCCTCTTCCCCCTACTGTGTTGCCTCATCCAGTCTTGATGTGATGTATGTGCTTGATCTTATTGTAGCATGTTATGTAGTGTTTGGTTGATGTCCCTGGGAAGCGTGCTCTTTTCTGAGGGCAGATGGAGGGGGTGGATCTGGAGGAGAGGGGAGGCAAAGGGGAGAGACTGGGCGGGGGAGAGAGGGGAAACTGGTCGGGATGTAATGTATGAGAGAATAATAATACTATATAAAAAGAATGAGGGTGAATGGAGCAAGTTTTTTGTTTTATGTTTTTTTTCTCTCCTATGGTTCAGATCGCCTCAACCTCCCAAGTGTGCTCGTGTTGAACAGTTGCGGGATTACCTGTGCAGGAGATGAAAGAGAAATTGCTGCCTTCTGCGCTCATGTGTCAGAACTCGATCTTTCTGACAACAAACTCGAAGACTGGCATGAGGTAAAGCTTGTGCGTCACAGCTTGGGGAAAGACATTGGTCACAGATATGTTCTTGCTTGTGTTTTACATTGCTGTATTTGGGGAAAGGCATTGGTCATGGTTATGTTCTTGCTTGTGTTCCTTTACATCCTGCTGACTCTGGTTCTCACTTGGGACTCCCTTGCCCTCTGAATGTGTCAATGTAAACAGCACCTGTGGTGTATTTTCAGTTAGTGCTTATTGCTATGACCCTGTTTTTATTAGTGTGGGCAGCACAGAGACATTTTATTCCAGGCATCGAAAGGTTAATGAGTCTACAGGAGGCTTCGTTTCTCAGCCCTGCATCCTCTGCTCACTTCTGTTTGTCTCTACAGATTGACTTAGAATTGCTTCCACTGAAGCCAAGATTATAGTCATTTTCTTGTTACCGAAATCTGTGAGAAATCCTTCAGAACTTTCCTTTTCTTAGCCACCTGTTGAGAAGTTTGATAAATCGGATGCCCTTTGACCTCAGAGTAACTCCAACTGCATACTAACAGTGTCTTAATATTCCTTCTTGTTATTATAGATATCATTACTTACCTGATCAAACATTTCCTGATAGAAACCACCACAAAGTATACGGGAAAACCAGTTCTTCCTACTTGGCTAATTCGAATTATGCTCATAGTTTTTGCTTTGACTCCGTGGAAATGTGCTTAATGGGTTTTTCCATGCTGTTGTATCCTGCTTTCTCCATCATTGTATAGTGCACCACAGACTGCTGAAGCAAGCGAATCATGCTGGACCCTACTGCATGGCATCCCTCCCTTGCTTTTTCTTGCTTAGCAACCAAGGTTTGAATCCTGAGGAATGGCCCTCATCACATAGCTCTCTGCTATTTCTAGACCTTCATGTCCATCTTTAGCACTGAACTGTCATTTGTGGCATATCATACGCAAATGGCATGGGAGCTCCCTGGATTTATTCATGCAAACCCACCAATCTCCTTTTTCTGTCATCTGCTGGCTACATCCTGGGTTGTCATCCCTGTGTCACATTCCCCGGCTCTCAACTCAGGCATCAGATTACCCCAGAGCATCTGTGCTCACTGCTACAGAAAGACTTATCCCAGCCTGGTGTGGTCTCTTGCTGACTTCTCCTAGAGACTGTGAGCTTTGTTTTCAGTGGCGATTTCTGTCTTCTTAAAATCACCACCATCTGGTGTACAAAGCATCAGGTGTCTGTTGCCTGTGTTAAGGAATGACTGACTGCATTAATGGATTGGTGAAGACTGCTTGCTGTAACTCTTACTGTGACTTCCCAGAATTCACCTGGTCTATTAACGCTTCTCACTCACCAGTATACAGGTGCTGATAATTAGCCATTGAAATGCTCTGTAGCTATCAAGTGTTACACAAATCCTAAAACAGCTTTCTTGTTTAAGAAAACTCTGTGAACTGTTTGTTCAGCATTTTTATATGTTTGTTCCACTGTTATATTTAATCTGGTGTCTGTGTCTTAGTGGTAGTTCCTGTTGTGATAGGATTTTTATCAAAATTCTTGAATGTTCATGTCACCTGATTTAGAGCTGTTTGAGTAGTTTCTACACATACATTTATCTATTTGCCTGTATAAACTACTTGTCATACTGCCCACAAATCATAGCTTGTACTCTCTCAGTCCTCTGAGACATCCATTCACCAGGCATGCTCTGCCCACACTGCCCAGGTGCAGTTAGAGCTGCCTTGCTAACCCTCCTGATCTGTGACTCGCCTCAGTCCTGCTGCTGAAGCTGACTCCCAGGGTTGGGTAGGTTTGTGCTTTGCTGCCCTGGGGCTTGGAAGGTGGGCGTTTGGACCAGAACCTCCTCTGACTCCATCCTCTGCTGAATTCTCTAAATTAGTTGTGTGGGGATATGAAATGTTACACAGGCTGGATTTTGGCCTGTACTTTGACTATGCACCTGAGCTTTTGCTAGGTAGTGAAGGCAGTTTAATAACCATGTAATTGAACTTCAGAGGGGAGCTGTTTGTAGAATGGGCCAGCACACAGAGCTTGCACTAGGAACCAGGCTTTTTCTCTGCTTTAGCAAAGACCTGTGGTATTTCCCAAACCACACTGCTTACAGCCAGGGGCAGCATATTTATTTAAAGTGTATCTGCACTTCGTTTGAGCATTCTCCTGTGTACATGGTAGCCCTTTGATGCTGTTGCTTTCACATTTCTCCTCTAGTTTATTCTGGTTTTTACCATTCCTTGTAACCCTCCTATTCCTAACTATAGTTGATCCCACTGTTTTAGAGAATATATTTAAGCATAAATGGACTAGAGGAGTACTACAACAAAAGAACACTGTTTTGTTTCTTGTTTTTTTTGTTTTTTTGTTTTTTGCCTTGATTAAACTTTGCCAGGCTACAAATGCTTCATAGGTTACTACTGGTTTTAAGACATCATATTTCAATCCTCTTACAACCTATGTATGAAGATCATTTGTCCCTAGACTTTAACCAAGCCGACTTCAGCCTGTATTAACATAGCAATGTGGAACAAAAGTAATGTAGAATGTTCTTTGGGTTTTCTGAGTGATTGCTAACATTACAAGTTATGAGCCATTTCCTTTGTTTTAAGCTCTTGGCTGCTATATATCTTAAGGCTAAAACACATATGGGTGAGAAATGTAATAGTTTGGAGAGAGGTACAAATGTGTCCATTTTTCTTAATTGGTCACCTGTATATAAAGCAATTGCACTTTTTAGCTACTGACTTGAATTTTTGGCTGGATAGAATTTTGTGAGACCTTTCCCAACATATCTCTGTTTCCTCTCCCCCCTTTTTTTTCTTATCGAAACCATTTGTAAAAGAAATTGAATCAAGTGTTTGAGACAAGGGAGGAGTTAGCCAGTCAAGTGAGGTAGAGAAAAGCTTGAGCATAAATTACAGATTGTTATCCTCAATCCCTTCCCCATTTTCCTTACATCTTTAGTTTCCTCCTTTAGAGATGCCAGGGTAGAGGACCGCCTGTGAGATGCTGGCACTATAGAGACCGTAGAGGTGATGCCAGTTTATCGCCTCACTTTTGCACGTGAGCAAACTCAACTCATTCTGGCCAGAGGAGTCTTTTATTTTTAACTTAAAGACACCACGTGAAGAGCTGCCTTAGAAACTCAGTGGAGTATGTCACCTTTGCCGTTGGGACATTTTTCTGTCAGTTGAATCAATAGTCTATTTTCCTTATTGTCCATGGGAGGTTACACAGGAAGCCTTGTTCATCTTCATAGTTTAAAAGAAAATATTCATTTCTAACACATAAAACATTTCCTGCCTGATTGCTTAGCTTGTGTCCAGTGTAGTGTGTAGGAATATACACAGTGCCTCCACTGGACACTTGGCCAGTGTAGATGGTAAAGAGAGGATCACACAGCTGTTAGCCTTGGGATACCCCAGAATTTGTTTCACAACCTTTTAGGTAACTTACATTTTAGTATTTTGCTCTTTGTTATAGAAACAGAGTGAGGAGTGGATGTACAAGAAGAGTTTACATTTTGCTTCTGTTTAATTGGAGTTGTACTGTTGCTAGAAATTAATAAATAGCATGCTCCTTAAAAGAGGTGATGGGTCATCGTCTTCTGTGGGAAAGTCCTTGTCATTGTATTTGGGTCACGGAATGTAATACACTGTTGGTCTCTGTGTGAGCTATTAAGCTGTGTTGTAGTCACAGCCTAGATTCCAGATTCTAGGCACGTATTGCATTATGGTTTGGTAACATTCACTCACAGAAGTGATTGAGAGAGAATATTCTCATACTCTTGGCATCCCTTACACTTAAAACAGCAGCTCAGTGCATCTTCCCTGTCGGTAGCTTGTTTCTTCGTTTGTGGAACATTTAGTGTACAGAATGGATGAACAGTGAATATGAGGGCCTTTTCCTCTGACAGACTCCTGGGAGCCTTCCTGGAGTTAATCTCACTGAACAGAGCAGACCCAGTGACTAGATGCTGCTGCAGCTCACATTTTCTTCTGCTTGTGGTCCTCTCTGGATGTACTCAGCATCTCTTCCAGAGCTCTGAAAACAAACTGATACAAAGATGTCAACCATGAGTGACATCCATATACATCTCATTAACCCCTCACAAGGTCCTGGGACATCCGAGTACTTTCCCCTTTCACCAGTGAAGAAACAGACTTGGAAAGGTTAAGTGATGAAACCAGTCAGCTAACAAGTGTCGGAAACTGATTTGAAAGCAAGCCTTCCAACACTCTGAAATCAGTTCTACCGCTCTTTTCTGACTCCAGCACTACCTGCCCCCCCCACCCCGTGACTCTTAATACATTTATAGGCATTGGGCATCACTCCATGCTTCCTTCACTTGGTCCTTACTGACAGTGCCAACTATCCTTCAGCTGCTTTTCATTTTCTTCAGGTTGTATTCATGATGTACTATGGGACCATAGCCAAATTATCTAATGTCTCTGAGCTTCAGTTTCCTCCCTTGTCACAGTCAGAGTCACATCTGGCAGATTGCTTAGAGAGTTAGTGTCCAGAAAGCCACAACTGTGCAGAGCAATTAGGTAGACTCAGTCACGTCTCCTGCCCCACTTTTTTGTATAAGTTTCTAGGTAAGCCATAAATTGGTGACCATACTTCCTCCTTCACCAGTGTCTGTCTGTCTGTCTTTCACCTGTCTATCTATCTATTGCTCTATACTGGATGTCTTGGGCTTTTGAATAAATACGTTTTAAAGTTTTATTTGCTTTTTGCCTTGGAAGCAAACTGAAGCATCCCTAAGTGACGATGTCTCTCAAGGCAGTTTTGGACACACACATCATTACAGGAGGCCTGGGGGTGAGGTTGAAGAAGCCTTTACTCAGCCTTAATGTGGTTTTGAGAATGAGAGGGACAAGGTAGTCAAAATTGCATGGCTTAATATTAGCTCTTTAAAAACGTATAGCCTAGAATACCATCCAAATTATCCTTTTATCTTACTTATGCAAGAGTGCATCATACTGGGCAAAATCAGGGCCTTGCTAATGGTCACATAGGGAGGGAATCCTTCCCTGTGCCACTAACTCTCAGTTATGCTATTCTTTCTTGGAAACAGACTAAATTATTTGCCTCAATTTGTGGAAGTCACTTCTGCTGCTCTGTGGGTGCCTTTGCTAAGTGGGACTCCCTGAGGTAAAAGGCCCTTCACCTGGGGACCTGCTCACTCAGGCCCTCCTGCACATGACTGCTCTTTAAAAGCCCCAATTACTGCCTGATTCACACCTCTCTCTTTTCTCCACAGGTCAGTAAGATTGTGTCAAATGTTCCTCAGTTGGAGTTTCTAAACCTGAGTTCCAATCCTCTGAATCTGTCGGTTTTAGAGAGAACATGTGCTGGGTCCTTCTCGGGGGTTCGAAAACTTGTCCTCAACAACAGCAAAGCATCATGGGAAACAGTGCACACAATACTTCAGGAGTTACCAGAGTAAGCCCAGTGTGCATGGGGGAGCGGGGCCATGTTTGCCATCTGCATCTCTGCATAGAATTTCTGCTGATCTCTCCTCTCAGAAACTCTAGAGATGCAGGTTGAATGGAGAAGGATCAGAAAAATGAAGTCACTGGAGTGGGGGTGTGTGGCGACCTGCTCACTTTCCAGAAGCATAGCTAGGGGACATGGTATGGCATCCTTCCCCAGAAAATACCACTGAGAAGCACTTGTCATCCTGAGCTCCTCAGCCTTTCTACGTTTCAGTCGTCCAATTACCTGATTTAACAATTGTGCTTTAACTCTTTCCTTTGGAAGGAAGAACAATGCTAGTATCTCTAAAATGTATTGACATTGTGATGACTAGGTACCTCTGTGGGCTGATGCAAAGTGGACCTGGCATGTGAGTGACAGTTGTGTGGCTTGGTCTGTTTGTAAGGTTCCTAGCAGTGAGATCAAGACCTGTTCCTGGTACTTAGCTGACTTTGAGAACCTGTTCCCCATGCTGAATTACCTCAGCCTTGTTGCAGGGGGAGGAGCTCAGTCCTACCTCAACTTGATGAGCCATGCTTTGTTCAAGTCCACGGGAGGTCTGTTACTTTCTGAATGGAGACAGGGGAGGAGTGGATGAGAAGAGGGGCTAGATGGGAGTTTGGGGAGAACAGGAGGGAAGGAGAGGAGGGGTGGGGGAAACTGTGGTCAGTATGGGAGAGAAATGAAAACAAAGTTAATAAAATAAAAAGAAATTTTACTTTGGGTTGCCAGTTCAGGAATATTTTGTTCTGTTCTGTTTGTGTCTATTTATGGGTGTAACTGTACAGAGGAAACTCTCAAAGAAAGAAATGAAGTTGGAGTTTCTTTGACTTTCTAAGTATAGAAATTCTCCAAGTCCCCAGAACCTGGCCTCACACCACTGGCTGCACCTGGGTTCCTCACTGTGAAGCAGTCAGCTCTCTTCACGATGTACAGCTTCCAAAATGGCATTGAATTAATTGTTTTTTTGAGACAGGGTCTCATGAAGCCCAGACTGGCCTCACACTTATCTGTAGTTGAAGCTGGCCTCCTGGCTCTACCTCCTGGGTGCTAGAATGACTTGTATGTACCATTAGATGTGGCAGTTGGTTAACTTTTAAACTCAGATGTCACTTGCTAACCATGTGACTCTTGACAAGCCCTTAACCTCTTTGGACTCAGTTTCCTTGTCTGTGAAGTAGACACCATTATATAAATGGTCCCGGCACAATGCCTGACACAGGGCATAGAGATTTGGTGGTTATTATTTCTTTTTATAAACATTTGTCCATGTCATATTCTGGAATTTTCTTTTCTTGCCTCTCAGCTTAATTAAGTTTATTCCTCCTTGAAAGCCAGGGATCCTTTCCTGGTTGCAGTGTTCCACTTTGGTTTCATTACTGCAGAAAACACACTTGTTCTAAGAGTTAGTGCTGCATACTTTGGCTCAGTTAATCACGGGATTAATCTAGCAGCAGCTCCTACCAGTCTCTGTTGCTTTATACTGGACTAGCCTTCCCAGCGATACACTATTTTGAGCTTCAGAAAAACTCCTTTGTATTTTATCTATAATACATACCAGAGTCTCACATATAGTGAATATTTATTTAATTTTAGTTTTTAAGACAGGGTATTACTGGGTAGCCCAGGCTAGCCTTGAATTGATGCTCTTCCCACCCCAGCCTCCTGGGGTTACTGGCACCTGCCTCTTTTAGTTATTGAATGCATGGCAGTGTATGTGAAGGTAAAACTCAACTGCTCTAAACAATTGGCTGTTTCCTTTCTCTCTGCAGTTTGGAGGAGCTCTTCCTGTGCCTTAATGACTATGAAACAGTGTCTTGTCCTTCTGTTTGCTGTCATTCCCTTAAGCTCCTACACATAACAGACAATAACCTCCAAGACTGGACTGAAATCCGAAAGCTCGGTGTAATGTTTCCTTCACTGGATACCCTGGTCCTGGCCAACAATCACTTGAATGCTATCGAGGAGCCTGCTGACTCCCTGGCTAGGTTGTTCCCTAATCTGCGATCCATCAGCCTTCACAAGTCAGGTGAGGCACAGGCTTCCCTCGTTCTATGTCAGGCTGGTCAAGTTCATGATGGAATATAATAAAAATGTGTTTTAGTCATAGCTGTGCTGCTAACAGAGTGGGTTTCCAGGTACCTACAATCCATTACATTTAGGACATAATTTTCTTTGTAAGTACTCTAATAAGTACTAAAGACCATAGAATTATTTTCGTAATTTATATCTTATACATTAAAAAGGGTCATAAAGGAGTAAAATGGAAGTTATTAAAAGACAGAAAAAAAGAATTATAAACTACATCATTTTACCTAGGTGTAGGGTAAGGAATCCTAGTCTGGCAGCCTTTTTAAATGGTCATCTATACATTCTTCATTATTACCATATTGCTATTGTGTCCTGTACATTACAAGAATAAAAACATGTTAATGATTTTTACTTATTTACAAATTTAGGCTCACAGCAAACTTAAGTAGAAAGTACAGATGGTTCTCATGTATGTGCAACCTACCCCCACTTTCTTCCTTCTACCCCCAACTGGTACATTTGTAACATGTCCATGAATGAACTGGTTCTGACACGTCATGCATCTGAGAGTCATTGGTGTCTCTTAGGGTGTGTGTACCCCATGGGCTTTGAGAAATGAACAGAGCAGCTCCTCCATGTGGTGTGCACGGGTCAGCTCAGTGTTCTCCCGGTGCCCCGTGATCCACCTGTTTACCCCTCTAACACTGACATGCTCTGATCCTGATCCTGTTGTCTCTGCACTTCTGCCTTTCCCACGCGGTCATTTATTTAGAGTCACACTGTGTGGAGCCTGTTTAAGCCATTTTCTTTCACTTAATAGTTCACATTTAAGCCACCATGCCTTTTCATGGCTTGAGATGTCCTTTCTTTTTGGCCCAGATGATACTCCATTTTCTAGGGTATCACAGTTTATCCATCCCCTGCTGAAGGGCTTTGGTTTAACTTTCAGGTTTGGACAGCTATAAGTAAAGCTTTAACCATCTGTGCATATTTTCAAGTGGACATAAGCTCTCAGTTTGTTTAAGTAAATAATAAGGATGCGACAGCTGAATCGTAGTAAGATTGTACTTAGTTTTGTAAGAAACCCTAAACTCTCAGAGTAATTATACCATTTTTCCATTTCTGCCAGCTGTGAATGAGAGTCGTGTTGCCCCACATGCTTGACAGCATTGGGTGTTGGCAGTGATGTATGCTTTTTAACTTATAATAGGTGTCTTGAGTTTGAAGTTCCCTAACTGCCAAATGGGAAAGAGCCTGTCTGCTTGCTTGCCATCTGTTGTCATCTGTGAAAAGGTGTCTGTTCAGGGATTTTTGCACTTTTAGTTACAGTAGGTTGTTAGTTGGATTGTAATTGGGTCATTAGTTGGGTTGGGTTGTAAGATACTGTTCTTGGGAAGATGAGAGCAAACACTCCAGATAAGGGACTGATGAAAAACCAAAGTACAGATACCACTAAAGTCCAACTTGATGAACCAGTGGGTTTTAGTGGGGATATTATAGAAATAATGGGGGAGAGGTCACTCACAGAAGTAGTAGGTTTTAGTGGGGATATTATAGAAATAATGGGGGAGAGGTCACTCACAGAAGTAGTAGGTTTTAGTGGGGATATTATAGAAATAATGGGGGAGAGGTCACTCACAGAAGCAGAAGTGACACAGTGACAGTTGTATCACCAAAGCCCACCCAGCACTAGTAACAGGTCACAAAAACTGCAAACCTGGAGCACACTGAACAACTTTTAGGCAGCTTAGCAAGTTGGAAGGTGTCCTTGTCCAAGTGGATCAGTTGGTCTTTGTTTCTTCTAGGCAGTTTGACTAGTCTCTACTTTTTCCAGGCATGTGGAGTTGTCTGCCATTGATTCTCAGCAATCTTTCCTATTTATATTATTGGGGAGGGGGAGACCTAGTGAATCGTGTCAGTTTCAGGAACTTCCTGAAGCTACATTAAGTTGTTTACTTTCAGAATTAGGTGCTTCCCTATAGTATTTCTCTGCCCCTTAGAACGGTCCTGTTGCTTCACCTTCCTGTAAATATCCTGTCTTAAATATTTTCCTTCAAGATGGAAAATTGTAATCTGGAGGAAACTACTACACAACAGCTTGAACTATTAGTTGGATTGTAAGTTGGATTTTTGTTGGGTTGCTAGGAGTTGGGTTGTTAGTTTAATTGTTGTTAGTTTGATATCTAAGTTACTAGTCAGGCTGTTAGTTGGATTGTTAGGTTGTAGTTGGGTTGTTTTCAGTGCTGTATATTGAGCCTAGGGCCTTGTTTGTGCTAATCTATCAGTGATTATAGTCCTTGCCCTCTTTTTACTTTTGATTTTGAGACAGGGTCTCACTAAGTTGTACAAGCTAGTGTTGCCTGTTCCACCAGACCCAGCTTATTGAGTTTTAAAAGTTCTTGTATGTTTCCACCAGTGAGCTTTTACTAAATGTGTCTTTTGCAAGAAACCTTCTCGCAATCTGACTTTTAGTCTTCTTTTAGCCTAGCTTTCATCCTATTTCTTAAAACAACTATGTACTTAAAAATATCTGTGACTTAAAAATTTAATTCAGCATAGAGGTTACGATTATGAGTGGGAAATGTGTTTTTTTGAAAATTGCATTTATTGATGTATTTTATGTCTTGGAGGTGCTGTTTAGGCACACACATGCCATGGCACACATGTGGAGGTCAGAGGACAACTTGCAGAAATCAGCTTTCTCCCTTCACCATGTAGGTCCTCGGAAATTGAACTCAGATTGGTAGGCTTGGGGTCAAGTACCTTTATCAGCTCAGCCATCTCACTGGCCCCCAGAAATGCATTTTGAAAGCTAATATTTTGCACATGGAAACTTTTTATTCCACAACTTGACACCCCTTGACATGACTTGCATCTAGGTAGACGTGCCCACTGGTAATGTACGAGGACAGCTGTGACTTGGGAAAGTTACATGCCAGAGTCCTCATATGTTTTCCCTCTGACTTCACCCTTGCTGAAGGTCACTGAAAATACAAAACAGTATTCTCTGAAATGGATTTCCCATGTCATAAACTGGCCACTCAGTCTCTTAGGATGTTGCATGTGTGAAAGCCTGCCTGACTCAGAAGTCAAATATTGGTTTGGCTTGTATAATTACCCACAGCCAGAGAGAGAATTGCATTTGAGACTGAAGGTCTTCACCTGACTAGTGCTCTCCCTGCTTCAGGGTTTGGGGTTATTGTGCTCATGGGTCGGGTTTGTTTTGGCAGTGATTTTGGACCCATTTCCCTGCCGCCAGCATGAGGGTAGCATGAAAGCAATAAATTTTAGTTTCAGGTTCTCGTGCTCTTGTCCCATTTTAGTACATGTTAAGGGAAAGTTTGGTATGCCACCATCACCTCAGACAGTCACAATCCACCAGTGTGCATTTAAGTAAAAGAAGTCGGTCAAGTCACTCTTTAGAAAATCACAGCATGCATCCAGTTTGCTGACATCATGATGACCCAGTTAGAAGCTGTTGTTGTTGAGTGGGAGATGGGAGGGTGAGATGGAACCAGCCCCCCTCTCTGTCTGTCCTTCACCAATGAGCTCACAAAGATGGGGGAGGCTCTGGCAACAGGTTTGTTTGTTGGTTTTATGTTGCTTGTTTTTGAGAGAGTCTCACTACCCTGCCCAAGCTGGCCTGGAACTCCAGATCCTCCTGCCTTGGCTTCTGAGCACATGTGAATCTGAACATGCGGCACTGAGCCTGTTGGCTGGGGAAGTTGCTTTGGAGTTTATATCCCTGTAACCTTGGAAAGGGACCAGCCTCTGACTGGCTGTTTGCACCTCAGCATTTCAGGAATTGCTAGGTAACTGCTTGGCCACCATTATCTTCTTCCTTTTGTTCTTTTCTGCATTTACTTACATAATTTCTTTCCCCCATTAGGTTTGCAATCGTGGGAAGACATTGACAAACTAAATTCCTTCCCCAAGCTTGAAGAAGTGAGATTGCTAGGAATTCCTCTTCTGCAGCCGTATACCACCGAGGAACGCAGGAAACTGGTGGTGGCCAGGTGTGTTGTGCTGCCCCCTTCTGCTTCCTTCTGCAGGGACCCCAATGGGCCGTGTACTCTTTGGGACGCTATGGATTGCCCCTCTCCTGAGTAGGCTGTGCTTGAGCTGCTTCTGGAGAGCCCAGGCCTGCATAAGAAGGGTTGTAATGTCGTGAGTGTGACCTAAAGCTGTCCTGCCGAGGCCACTGGGGGAAAATTCCCTTTTAAATGTATGTTTTGTTTGTCTGAAAGCCCGTTTTTGGTGATGAGGTGAAAGCCTGTTGATGGAGAATCATCTCATGCAGATGTCCTTACTCCTTTAACATAGTGGTTATGTAAAGTGCAGCCACACCCGGAAATGGAGCTACCTCAGAGCGTCCGTTTTCCTCTTGAGTATCCATTCATTGACTTAAGAAGGCCAGTTGTTACTGTCTTCTGTGCTCCCAGCTGTCCCTGTGCCTAACACTGTCTCTGCACACGGCTGCAGCTTCCCTCCAGTGTGTATGCTTGCATGAACCTTTAGCAGAAAGAAGATTTGGGCTAAAATGAAAAGAGCCCCAGGGCTTGACTTTGCTGTCTGCGTACACCCTACAGGGAGCTTTTGAAGGATGGACAGTGGACTTTGGGGTTTCTGCAGAGTGCCTCCTTAAGCACAGTATTGATTTTTCTGCCCAGCTAATGCCCACTCCACACCATCCCAGGACTTCTTAGCACAGTCAGAGGGCTCACTGTTTTCTTGTGGGGAAGCCTGAGTCTCATAGTAGGTAGGCTTTATTTAGGCTTTATGTTCTTCACACAGTTCTTTTACAAACATAAGATGATTAGTGAGTTACATATTCATATTGTACGAACTACACTTTGAACTTTTGCTATTTAACATGGCAGCCTCCAGCCTGGATGTCTGTGAGCACTTGAAGTAATGTCTTGGCTAATTTGAAATACAAAACAGACACTGGATTTCCCCTAGTTTATATGAGTAACAGACTATAAAAGAGCTCATGACTTACTTTTTAAAATATTGATTACATGTGGAAATGCCCATATTCTGGTTATATTGAGTTAATTAAACTATATTGTTAAAATTTTACCTCTTTTTGCTTTTTAAAATTGAGCTGGAGAGATGACTCAGTGGTTAAGAGTACTTGCTGTTTTTCTAAAGACCTGAGTTTGGTTCCTTGTACCCATGTCACGTAGCATACAACCACCTGTAACTCAAGCTCTAGGCTGTTATCCTCTTTGGGCCTCTGCAGGCACCTGCACATGTGAGTACATAGACAAACACAGATAAACATATATGAAACAAAGAATAAAAGCAAATTCTAAAGTGGTGCTACTAGATACTTCAGCTGATAACTAGGCTACATTCCATCCAATTGGACAATGTGACCTAGAGTTGTGCTCTGAAATGTTAAGTTTAAAACAGAAAGTCAATGTTACATCCAGAACTGCAACGCTCTCTTTTTGGTCATTTTGATGACCTCACTGTGTGTCAGTCTTTACCTAGGAACAAGGCCCAACCAGCTGTGTCCTTTCAAAAACCATGACCAATTGCTTTATTTCCAGCCCCTTAAAATGTCTTTATTTGGCTTTGACTTATAGACTGCCCTCTGTTTCCAAACTCAATGGCAGCGTTGTCACCGATGGAGAGCGAGAAGATTCTGAGAGGTTTTTTATCCGGTACTACGTGGATGTCCCACAGGAGGAAGTGCCATTCAGGTAAAATGCTCTCAGAAGGCACGATAGAGTATCAGGCCACAGTTTGATCCTAGAGTACTCTAGCAGTAGATTTAAAGAGAGAAGGAAAACATAAAAGTAGACATACTTTATCTTCCTTTCCATAGTACAATGGTTCTCAACCTGTGGGTCGCGACCCCTTTGGGAGATCAAATGACCCTTTCACAGGTCATTTGATTTTGAAAATGTAAAATAAAAAATGTAAAATAAAAATCAGATTTTACATTATGATTCATAATTACAGCAAAGTTACAGTTACTAAGTAGAAATGAAATAATTTCATGGCTGGGGGTCACCACACCATGAGGAACTGTATTAATGGGGTTGTAGCATTAGGGAGAGTGAGAACCACTGCCATAGTACATTTTCTCTAGTCTTCTGTGGACAATGGACAGGCGTCTGGCTAACACCTGTTTTTCCCACACCATGCTTTGTGTCACCAATTTCTCTTTTCAGAGCACATTTTTATCTACCCTCAGACGTGTTTGTGTTTGCTTTGGATGTGGTAGCTTCTGCAGATCAGCAGGCTTGGCACGTGAGGAAAGGACTGGGAAGTGGACTCTTGAAGGGATGAGTCTGCATGAGAAGATGAATGCTGGGCTGAGTTAGCATTGTCTAAATTTTGGGAGGATGACCTGGCTAGTGTGAGGAAGTACCTTTAATACTCCACAGATAAGAGGAAGGGTGGAGGGTGCATGTCACCAAATACACAAGAAAAGATACCCCTGAAAACAGGTTTCCTGGTGTTGACAAATAGAATTGCTTGCCAAAAAATGTTCCACATCTCCTTTATTTAAGAAAAAGCTGGGAGGTTGGAGAAGTGTCTTGGGGGTTTAGAGCACTTGCTCTTGCAAAAGAACTGGGCTCATTTTTCAGCACTCACATGGCTCATAGCCACCCATAATTCCAGTTCCAGGGAATACAACTCCCTCTTCTGACTTCCTAGGGCACCGGGAATGCATGAGACACACAAACATACATGTAAGCAAAGCATTCATTACATATATGTTTCCAGATATTTGATAGCACTGTGAAACTCTGAGATTGTGTTAATAAAATTAACCTTGGATCAGGAGGTGGATCCAGTGACAAGAATTAGTCATAGAGCGTATGGAGGACTCGGGAATACAGGTAGAGAGAGACACAAGAAGCAGTAGGGAGGGACTTAGAGATTGGGATGTTTTTTGGTTTGGGACAAATAGAGAGATGCTTCTCTTGCTTGGTCTCCTGCCAAAAAGGAATGTCAGCTAGTTGCTTCTAGGCTTCTCTGGTCTAGCAGGTTTCCACCCCAACATCTGACTCCCAAGTCTTTATTGATAAATAGAACAATACTGACTTAGTTAAAACCTACATTTGGTGGCTTTGGCCAAGCTTGTGCCCATACTGGCAGGAATGGAAATACTTCCAGACCTCAACCTGAATGATGGGGTGCTGATGTAGGGCCACGGTGCACAGATGATAGTTGAAATATCAGTAGATGCAGGTTTGGTAGGTAAAGTCAGATGTGTAGTGCCCACAGCCATCTTGGGCTCTCTGGGGAAATGGGAGGGGAAGACAGGAGAATGTGAAGCTCTTGGGCCAGCTAGCTTGATGTGCACAGTGCAAAACAACAGTGAGACCCTGTCTCAGACAAGGTGGCAAGTGAGGCCTGACAGCTGAGACTGTCCTCTGACCTCCACTTGTGCACTGAGGTACATGTGCATCCATGTAGACATGCACAGAAGCAAACATGTGCAAGAAGGGAGAGAGGAAAGAAACCAAAAGAAAAAAGAAATAGCTGGGCATGGTGGCAGGAGTTCAGTGATAGCTATGGTTATGGAGAGAACCCCTTTCTTGGGGGGAAGGGAAGGGAAGAAGGAGGAGGAGGAAGAAGAAACCAAGCTTGGTGGCTTACATCCATAATTCTGTCATTAAAGAGTTCACTGGAAAGTTGGGAGTTCAAGGCTATCCTTAACTACATAGTTTGAGGTTAGCAAGTGATAAATATCTTTAAACAAGTGAACAAAAACACCACTATGAACAGTCAAACCAAAGTGGCAAAACCAGCAACAAGAAATCTTCAAGAATAGCATGAGCCCTTGCTAGATCCAGGATTCAGCTAAGCAAGGTGGACATTGGGGAGGGATGTGAGTCAGATTAGTTGAACCTTATGTCTACAAATACTCACGATTCTGATTCATTCTTGCTGGGTGGACATGTTTTCTCCTCAGATGAGTTAATATTTACAGACTAATATTTGTGACTTAAACTTTTGGACATTCTATAAGTTTGCATACTCTTTGTGGTTATTTAGAAATAATTAAACTCCCAAGTACTTAAAATATTAGAGAAACTAAAGATCCTTCAGATTCTTTAAATTAACTCAGAACCACAAGGTAGGGGGTTTTATTATACCTTTTAATGCACACTATACATATGAGGTTTAAACTAAGTGAAAATAAAACCAAATAGGTTTAAAAGGTGATTGGTTCATGTCTTACAAGGTGGTTTATCAGCTAAAGAGGTAATGTTGCTCACCACCAAGAGTCCTGCAAGCTGTCTCGTGATCTCCACACACAAATCATGGCATGAACACTGACTGGCTGGTGCACTCGTGTGCACTCATGATCTCACGTGCATGTGTGCATACATGTGTGCACGTGCACACATACACACAGAAAGAATAAATAGATCTTAAACTTAAAGTGTGGTCCAGTGTCTATTTTCATTTGGCTAACTTACTAGTACCTGCAGATATAGCTTTGTAGGTACAGATTGACAAAAAGGAATAGATAAAATTGTTTTCTGTCACTAATGGTGTAATTATCTTGAAGTGCGTTTATTCCTCTGTAATAGTGTTCTAGGATGAAAGGCATCGAAATCAACCTTGATTAGCTTTAATCAGCAGGGAAATGCATTATAAGGATATTGGGAAGAATTGTTAGGCCTGTACCAAGACAGGCTCTGACAGCCACGGCTTCAGCTCCTGTTTGATGTGTCACTGTTGTCTGTGGACACCACGGTGCTGGGCACTCCCTCTGACACCTGCAGCTGTGTCATTTAAAAATCTCTATTAAGTTCCTATTATGTGACTAGTGGCATTATAGAGCTAGCCAGTGAGGGTGACCAAGCACCTCCTGTGTATCTCCCATTCTAATCAGAGCTTTCATTGGCTGGCCTGGAGTTTAGGCCCTCTTGTCTCTGCCTCCTAAGTATGGGGACTACAGATGTGACCACCATTTTTGTTTTGACCACAGTGTTTCCTTCTAGGTATTTTCTTGAACTGAATCTGAGAACTACTGAAACATCAGATTTTTGTTTGTTCATTTTGCTTTTCTATTGGACAGTGCTGAGGATGCAACCCAGGTTTGCTAGGTGAACTTCCTCCCTCTCTCTCAGCTATATACCTAGCATCCTAATCTTCCATGCTCCCCAGATAGAAGCCATTCACCAAAAAAACAGCTTATTTCTTAATTTTTCCAACATCTATGTGCTTCTTTTCCCAGTTGTAAGAAAGAGTGTTCTTGCATGTCCTTAATGTGGTCCAATGTGTTTCTGGATATCCCAGGTCGTAGGGACCGCTGTGCTGTCTTAGACCTTTGGGTGGCCCATATTACTTTTTCTTTTATATCATGATACCTGTTGACTCAGGAGTGAAGTTGACCACTCTAGCATACCTTATACAGAATGATGGCCAATGAGAAAGAAAAGGAAAACATAATTCATAAATATGTGCAGGCATGTAACAATGAACCAAATGTAAAAGTGGAGTGATACTGTTATTTTATACACTGATCCTAGAGCCACAGTTGGCATTCATTGCTTTCTTCCATCACCACCCCATTTGCTTATAGCTCCCTTTGACTTCAGGCAGTACAGTCGGAGCCAACTGTTTTTGTTGGAGTCTGCACCCTTACTAGTTTTACATATCTGTGCTTTCTTGTCTTGGAATTTCTCCCTCTAGACCTGCTAGTACAGGGAAATGCTAAAGAGAGCCTCTGGATGCCATCCACACCTAATGTGACTCCTTTATTTCCCCTGACACTTAATCACTGCCTTGGCTGACATTTCTACAAACTTTTCTGGACGATGCATTTGGCCTGGCATTGTATAGGAATAGAATGACCGCTGTGAGTGCAGTTTCCAGGAGGATGTTATTCTGAGGGCTAAGCTTTGAAACCTTGTAAACTTACGAGTCTAAAAGCTGTTTTGCAAGCTGCTTTCTGTATGGACTTTTGGGTTATGTCAGGCACTCCACTGTCGGCTTTTGGGATTACAGACCTACTCTGACTCGGGAAGAACTGGCATTATTTTTAACCCAGGTCTCCATGGTGACAGGGTTTGGGGTGCTCTCTAGGGAACCACTGTTGCTTTCAGTTTAATGCTGCAGTTGAACAAGGTTCATGGGCTCTTTAAAGTGATCCTAAAGACTCCACAATACATTCACTGCTGCAAAGATTCACACAGACTGTTTAATGTAATACATTCATTTATTTTAGTGAAGGTATGGGGGGGCGGGGGAGGCATGAGCATGTACTCTAGTGCACGCCTGTGACTATGGAGGCCAGAGATGGTTATCTGCTGTCCTCCTCAGTTGCTCTCCACATTATATCTTGAGACAAGGCCTCTCACTGAAGCTGGGGCTCCATGATTTAGTTAGACTAGTTTGCCAGCAGCTTTCAGGAATCCTCCTAGCTCAGAGATTATAGGGGTGTGATATCCCTGACTTTTTACAGTGGTGTTGTGGATCTGAACTCAGGCTGCAAGCACTGTACTGACTGAGCCCTCTCTCCAGCCCCTGACAGATGATTTAATGACTAATCCTTCCCTTCTACCTCTTTATCTCATTATGCTTACTTTTCCATCCACTAAGGCTTAAATGTCACAGCTTGGCTACTTTTGTCCTTCAAATGGAAACCAGTAGACTAATTTCAGTTCTCTGCCTGCATCTCTGGACTTTGAAGGCCTTTTCAGAGATGTGGGTGCTCCTTTTGTACTTTCAA